GTTATGTCATTAAAAAATCTTGAGAAGTACTGGGCCAGAAAAGATGAAACTTATTTGGAAGTTTTTTGGGGTTGTATAGATTTTAAATTGTTCAGATCTTAACTCCCTGGGGATACGTTGGGGCCACAATAGCGAATAAAAGTTTTACATTGAGATATATAGGGAAAATCTTTAAAAATCTTCTTAAGAACCACTGGACCAGAAAAGCTGAAACTTAGATAAAAACTTCCAGAGGTATTGCAAATTATAAATTGTTCAAATCATATCCCCTGGGGGTAGGATGGGGGCAGTAATAGGAAATAAAAGTTTAACATTGAAGTAGACAGAAAAAACTTTTGAAAGATTCTTTTCAAGAACCACTGGACAGAAAAGATGAACCTCAGGTGAAAGCATCTTGAGGTAGTGTAGATTGAAAATTATGAAGATCATGGTCCTTAGGGGTAGGTAGGGGGCCACAATAGGAAACGAAAGTTATACATTGAAAGATATAAGAAAACTCTTCTCAAGAACAACTAGACCAAAAAGGATGAAATTTGGGTAAAAGCTTTCTGAAAAAGTGTAAACTGTAAATTGTTCAGATCTTGGTCCCTGGGTATGGAAGGGCCACAGAAGGGAATCAAAAGTTTGATGTAATAGGAATAAAATACATGTATGTGAAAAAATATTTTAAAATTTTGTCAAGGAGAGCAAAGCCATGTTTAGTCATATTAATATGGAAGTAACCTAAGGTTGTGCAAATTCAAGTTAGTTCAAATCATGACCCCCACTCCTTCCCCGTCTGTAGGGTAGGGCCATATCTGGCAATCAAAGTTTTTGAAAGTAATATATAGGGAAAAAAAACTTTACAAAGCTTCACAAAGACAGCAAAGCCATAATTAGTCACGTTTACATGGGAACATCCTCAGGTTAGTGTAGATTTAAGTTTTTCAAATCAGCCCCCCCCCTCCCCCAGTGGTAGAATGGGATCACAACAGGCAATCAAAGTTTTACATAGGATTATATAGTGAAAAGTTTAAAACTTCACAAGAATAGCAAAGCCTTGATGATGAATCATGTTAATTGAAGCATCGTCAGGTGGTGTAGATTCAAGTTTGTTGAAATCTTAAACCCCAGGGATAGTGTGGAGCAAAAATAGATGATCACAATTTACATAAGAATTTACAGGAAAAGATTTTTAAAAAAACTCTCTGAAAAACAGCAAAGCAATCATGGTAAGTCATGTTTCTACGGAAGCACCATCTAGTAGTGTAGATTCAATTTTGTTCAAATTATGATCCCTGTTTAAAGGGTGGGGTCACAATAGGCGATCAAAATGGAAATGATGTATTTAGAAAAAAATCTAATGAAGAACAGCAGCGCCAAAGTGACTCGTGCAAACGTTGTGGCTCTTGGGCCTCTTGTTGCAGATATTTTCCATCTTCGCTAGCTAGCCAAGTTTTCTGATCCGCTAGCGAAGATGGATATTTTAAGGCATGCTACCCCCCCCCCTCCCCCTCTTGATTTCGAAACACTGAAACTTTTCAAATGGATATTAGCCGGAAACCTTGATATTACAAGTAAATATGTTTGAAGAATGTCCTTTTTTCTTTCATTTTAGGCCACCTGAGTAACTCGGGTCGCCTATTACTATTTCGTCCCTCATCACGCGCCGTGTGTTGTGCGTCGTGTGTGAACTTAAAGATTTTCAGCTTCTCAGTACAAGTGAACCGATTTCAATCAATTTTTGGTACATAGCATATATGGGTTAAGGGAAACATTTGAACTTGTGAATTTGGCCCCTGCCTCTCTGGGGCTTGAGGGAGTAGGGCATTAATTCTTTTAAAAATCTGTTCCACTGTATATTTAGTAGACAAACTAAGTGCATCGTCATGGTCAGAAAAAATGCATTGGATTTTTTGAAAATCTTTCCTGCTCCTGGGTATTTAAACAAAGTACATGGTTATGATGAGCAAAAGTGACTCTACCTAAATTGTGAAATATGGCCAGGGGTTATGGTGCAAGGGTGAGCTGATGATATAATCATACAGTTAAAATGCATATTTTTGAAAATCTTCTTCTCTGCTCCTGAGCATCTAGCAGGCAAACCAAATACATAGTTTTAATTAATAATTTTTGCTATACATGTACTTGAGAGAAATTATTCCCCTTTGATTATTTTATCATTATAAATAATGGAATTGAAAGGTTTAATTGAATTAAAGAATGATAGAAGAATTCTAAACGTACTTTCATAGTTTTTAATGATCAGATGGACTTTTAAATAATAAATAAATGAGACAAGAATACTTTACATTTTGTACTGCATTTTTTTTATAGACCAGGAGAAGCAAATTGTTAGAAGATATACCGGGTTCACTCTGAGTACACTGTAGTTTCATGATAATTAAAGAAATATGTTGTCCAGCTTGGGACTGTTAACACTGGTATGTACAGGCAAGGAAATTGATATAAATTTCAGATTTACAATGTATTGCAGATTACTGGTTGATCCTTGACCGCCGTATTTTATTTGTAATGTTTTTGAGTAACATATCTCCGTCTTTCAATTTTATTTGATTAAATTGTCGCTCAATGGATTCTTTACTTTTTATACCAAGACATTTAAAGATATCACTTGTAAATCAGAGGGAAAGGCGTAAATCGTGCATTCAAGTATAGTTAATAAAGATTAACATGTTTAAATTAATAAACCATTCAAACCAGATAAACCCCCTCCCCCATCGGTGAATATTTTGCCTGCGAAATAACCTTGGCAATGCACTCTGTTATGCCTTAATTGCGTATAAGAATCTTGTATTGTAAATGTACTAGAGATAGCAATGGCAGTTTGTGAGGTTTTTGACTTACGCTGTCAATATTCTTCAAGCAACAGCTCGGATTTAATGAGTTTAACAAAGGGGATGTCTCCTTTGTCTGATTTTTACACTGTAAAAATTGCGTTTAGGAAATAAACACTTCTGTTACATGTTTAGATCTAAACGTGTATAGCATTGTGTTTAACAACTAAACACTTATGTCTTAACATGTTTTATATCTAAACGCGTTTAGAAATTAAACACGTTTTACTGTAAAGTGCAGAGTTATCTTCCCGGAAATGACACACATATTTGAACGTTAATTTGAGCGGCTATCTAAACAAAGAAAACACAACAAGCTAAGGTGATGTATCAATGAGAGTTATGACAACCCAATTCAAGGGATAACCATGACGAAATAGTGAAATACGTGAAAGGGCATCTATTAAAGGTTTGTTTTCTTCTTCTTTGCATTAATTAACCACGATGAGCAATGTAAATAAAGTTGACTTGGGATATCTTGAATTCGTTCATAGACTTGCAGGATAGGAAATATTATTAAATGTCATTAAAACATCTATATTTATATCAGTGTAGTTTCACTTAAAATGGAACAATTTTGTTTTTCCAAGCAATGTAAAATATCAGTGATAGTGTACTTTTTCTAAATTCTGGCTTTCTTTCCTACAGGCACTGTAGTCCAGATCGAACTCAAAATACACGTATCAGAGTACCTGGTGTCATCTTCAACATGCAATTTTGTTGTTCCATAATCAACACTTTGAAACTTCATTTGTTGAAGACTACTGTGTTAATTCGACAGTGTTTACAATTATCCTTGTGCATTCGAAATGGATTTACTTTCTCGCAGTTATTGATGGGATATAGATTATAATATGTGGTGCTTTGGGACTTGCTGAAAGTTAATAAAATTTGATATTTTTGTGATTGACATGAGGAAAACTCTGCAGCCGATTCAAATTATAATGATTATAATAAATATGTACATAAATATACAATTTGTATTTTTAATTCAACAATTCTTTAATAAAGCCTTTTAGAAATATTCAATGAAGTTTTGATATTAAATTGTCAGCTTAATATTATTTTCTTAATAATTTTGAAGATTAAAAGTTTGATATCTATGTGTACGTTATAAATTATGTGTCATTCTGATTGAATTGTTGAGACTAATCAAATATTTTCAGTTCTATCTCCTACATTATTTGTGTAAATTAAGTACATGTACATCACACAGTGTCCATTCTATTGTATAATTAAATACATATCCAAACGTTCAGTGGCTTTATAGAAAATAGTTAATATTGGTTACATATTTTGAAAATTTTGACAATGATGCGCATTTAAAAAACATACTTTTTGTGCCTAAATTTACGAGAGTGTTTTGTTTTTCTTCAGGTCCAATTTAAACTTATGATGTGTTTAGATTTTAAACACATCTGCTGTTATGTGTTTAGAATTTAAACACTTGTGTTTATGTGTTTACATGTGTTGAATTTCTAAGCACACAAGTGTTTAAATTCTAAACACTTTCTAAGACATGTTTAGGAATTATACATGTTTAGAAATTAAACATATAAAAAAGGAGGTGACAAGAAAGTGTTTAGAAAAGTGTTTGAATTGTAAACACATTTTTTACAGTGTAGTTTCAGGTCAATTTAAGTCAATTTAAGCAACATCTAATTATAGGCGTGTAAAAAGTACATTAAACACAAAAGGAGAATTTAGACATCTACATATATAGACGAGGAGTTCACGCACCTAAAAGACCCATTCTGATGAGAACAACTGTGGCATTTTTTTTCATACGGTCTGTTTCAATACACGTTTATCAATAGTTTTTCATAAAAAAAAAACATGTTATGTACTATTAAGCAGTAAACCAATTAGCACTATTAAACTGCCAGCTGGTCAAAAAAATTCTTCTATAGCATGTCATAAATATACATGTACGCCCAGTAACATTTGTAGTTAAGCGAGAATTCATTTTCAAATATTTTTTTCTTCAAAATTTTGACTTTACATATGTGCAGTGTGTAAAAATTAATTACTTTTTTCCAGAAAACCACATATTTGCATTAAAAGTTCATTAGAACTCATATTAACTACCGTAGAGCTCTCGTGACAATAAGACAATCTGAAAATAATGTGTTTTTATCTAATGAGTCATTAAATAAGCTGTAGCTCATAGAAATAACACTTAAATCAAGTGCCGGGGAAATCAGGTAAGTTTTATTTTTAAAGATCTTATTATGATAGAAATAATTAATTTAATTCAAAGGAAAAAAAAAAGGAGATGTAGAAAACATCTTCTGCACCAATTTGTTGTTGAAATATTTATGTAACTTTAATTATCATTGCTATTGAAGACGATTTATATAATACATTCTCTGTATTTTTTTTTTTTTCATATATGCATTACCTATTGAGTGACCTATTGGAATGTACTGTGATTTTCGACCTCTTGACCTTGAAATATGACTTTCTTTTCAAAAATTTTAAAGTAATACATAAAACTTTTCAATAAAAAAAAATTTGGTTTTCTTTTTGATTTCTTATGTGCAATACCTGTGACAAGATCTTTCTGAATTTACTATTGTTTTTTACCTTTAAGTTTGACCTACTTTTCATATATTTTAATCTTCGCCGTAGCTATTGTACCTGGAAAAAAAAAAAGCTTTCGTATTTTTACATGGTACATTGGGTCAAGATCTTTCCAAATGTACCTTTTTTTGGGTACCCCATGACTTTGAAGTTTGACCTACTTCTCTGAAAAAAAAAATTAACTTGTCTGCACCAGAAAATGTTACTTCAAAAATATACAACTTCTTTTTAAGCATAATGGATAAGCAAGACAGGACGGACAATTTAAGACAGTTACAATATGCCATTTGGTTTAATGCATTCCAGCCATTAAGACCTAGAAAGGGGGGGGGGGAACGCAATTCTCTGAATTTGCCTTTTTTATGAATATTTTCTAAACATATAACAGAATGGTTCATTGATTGTCGAAATAGATACAATTACTATTAAGGATACATAACATAAACAAAAGTTTGATGCATGGATTGATGTATATATTTTGACTGATTCTGATTAGAAATGACACAATAATCAATCCCTAAAATCTAAAGAAATCGTAAGTTTTCTTTGGTGCTTAGATATGCAACTTTGTGTCGTGTTCTATGTAATTCTATACAAAATTTTGCACACATTTTTAACATTTTGAAAAAAATCTTACAAAGTCTATGAGAAATATTGCTGATTTCTGGAAAAAAGTTTGTTTGTGTCTTTTATCCTTAAATGGAGCAAGGAAATATTTCCTAACCTTCAAATTCCCCAACATGCATGGATCGTCACACTGAAGATGATACATGTATATACCTTTCATCACCTTTCAAGGTTTTGCAATGTTGAATATGATTGGCTTTGAAAGTTTATTGTTCAAATTTTAAAATACTGAATTTCAAATGTTTATAGTAAATAAAAAGAAGAAGATATATACTACTAAAGACTAAGTCATGAAATTTATAAAGAATTTGTGTTTTCTAAACGGATAAAAATATATTTTATTATGTAAACATAAATGGATTACACAGAACAGAAGGCATTGCATTTGTATATAACATTATATATGATTAATAGGTACATAAATTCAATGAGTTGTATTTAAATAACACAAAAGAGTTACTTAAAAATTATTTAAAAGATTCCAAACAAGTAATGAGTCAGGAGAAGAAAAATAAGTAAGAAAAACATGAGATAGAACAATGCAGACACGTCATGTAGATATGTTTTGCACTCTTTGACAACACCCATTCCTCTGTAAACAGACACTACGACACAGATTTATAGTTTATCCCATAAAACCTTCAATAAAACAAGAAATTACAAGAAAAATCCCTCAGTAAATTCCTTCGAACTGCGATGATATGACCTATTTCTTGTCGTATTCATACAAGAAACAGCCCTATAGTAGACATGACAATTGTGTTCTTTTTCAGGAACGTTTTAATGATATGCTAATATTCAATTATGGTTAACGTGAGAATTAAAAGTGACTACTTTTTCAGCATTAAAAATGATCCAGGTACTGATTGTTCTCCTAGGTGTCGGTTTGACCAGGGGTCAGTTCTGGCCAGGTAGGTAATAATTATTAATGTGTCACTAAATTGCGTCATCATATATTTGGATTCAAAATGGAAATTTTATTATTAATTCAAAAGTGCAACTGTTGAATAGAAATTGAATTATAATTATTTTTCCATTAAATCATTTTATTCATATTTTATTAATGTTTCTTCCTTTTGTATTAAAATGTCACCGTTTTCGATTCGCTTTTAATTTTAATGAAAGAGTCAACGTAAATTCTCTTATTCTTCCAATTGTATTTTGAATATCCATATTCTTTGCGGAATGGTGCATGTTTGCAATTAAAATTTGCCTAAATAAATTATAATTTAGTCAACTTAATGCGAAAAAAGGTTTAAGTTCAAATAACCATATGAATACTATAAAATGAATTTAAAAAAAACAACTTGCAGAAAATAAAAGGCAAACTGGCATGTTTTGTAGATTTAGGTTCTTTCCCTTATACAGGGAAATGCACTATGTTTAATGTTTGCCAATAGAACACCTGACATGTGTTAACATGCAGTAATCTGAGGAATATAAAATGACAATTAACGCTCAGGGAAATATGCTTCCTGTCAATCTCGGCTTTGAAAGTCTTTCAAAACATTACACCAAATTACGAAACAAATTAATTTCATGATTCATGGACATATTGCGTGCTAAGCTCGGGGAAAACATTATCTTCATTAATCTAAAAAGTGGGAAGATGACATAAATGAGCAAATCTATCATTGATGCGAGAAGACAATGAAATAAAAAGAAATTAAGAAATTTCTTGAGCACGGTTTCATGTTTAACCTATGCCAAGTGCCACCCTTATGCCTTTTATTTTTTTCCTACCTTAAAAAAATTAGATCAGTTTTAATCCTACATGCAAAAGAAAGGTTTTCTTTCGGGGGAGAGGGGATCAAATTAAGGTTAAGATAAATCTGCCAAAGAGTTCTTGTAATTTACTTAATTATGATCAAATTGGAACAGTTGTTTAAATTTCCTTAAGGTGATAATACTAATATATTTGACATACTGCATATTGCTTTTACTCATTTTAACTGTGATTGCTGTGTATCTTAATACACATGTAATTAAATCTTCCTCTTTAAATACATTATTATGGAAAACTGTAAATGTAACCTTTATTTTCTAGAGTATTTATAGATATGTGTCCTGTTGTTAAATGATTTTTTGTGAAATTTTGTGTTAATACTTTTTAGATTGAATCGATTTCTTAAACTATTTTCAGGGGGGTTCAATCCATTTCGTATGTTAGATGGAGACTTTGGGCCTTTTGACCCACATGGAATTATGCAAAGAATGAGGAAAACTGACCTCAACAACTTTCCACCCGGAACCAAGAAAGTTTTTAAAGACAGAAATGGAGAAGGTGCCTTTTTTACGTGAGTGTCTAAATCAGTTAACACTTCCGTGCGTTTTATATCTCTAAAAGTGTGCATGCACATGACATGGAACCGATGAGGGGTGTGAGGGGTAGCCCTCCCAATAATTTTGCCTATGTATAGTATACTATAGAAAGCAAAGCCTCAATAATTTCGTCTGATGACTTTTTTTTTTGGCTTGTCAAAGAATTTTTGCTTGGTAGTGCCCACCCTAACTGAAAATGTTTGGTTTTATTTTTTTAAAGTTTTTTTTTCTGTATAGAGAATCTTATTTTTTTTTTCAGTTATATACGAGTAAACCATTTGTATTTGATACTTTATAGCAACATTTTCTATATTCTACCTTAGGCGCATAGTTGAGTGAAAAAAGATAGGTTATGTTTAACCGTTAAATGCAATAAGATTTAAGTTAGTTTTTTAAGTCTGTAAGTCTTGCCAAAATAACATCATACATGTACTTTCCACAATAGTTGCTCAATGTACTTGCTTAACTGGTGCATTTATTTTGTGATATTAACATATTGTCGTATCTTAAAGATCACACGACAAAGTAATGAAGGCCTCTGAGATATAAAAAAAAATACTATAGGTCTATAAGGAAAATCACTTGACAATAGCTGTTTAAACAACTTTCTTGACAGGATCTTGACCCTCGATATTCTCCTGAAGGTCAAGGACAATCAAGATTGTCACAAATTTTGTTTTCTCTACACATTAGTTTCGTCTCTCTGAATCCTTTAACTTTGGATTGAATACAGAACTAGATATAAAACTGATTTGTTTTTGAATATGTCAGGAAAATCAACGAAAAAAATGTTGAGATTCAAAATGGACAATTGACAAATTACTCTGGGGTACTTATATGTAGGAGTCCAAACGGAAACTCCGGTGGATTTGTCTTCAGCAGTGGAGGAGGCAGAGGTTTCGCCCTGGGCAGTGGTTTTGATGGTAGAGCTCCAGACACGGGGTTTGTAATGACGTCAGGTACTGGATCCCGTCCCCACATCTACGAGTTTGGACCTGGTCCAAAGGGGGAACGACGATTCTTTAAAGATGGAAACACACAAGGAACATTTTTCAGGTTTTCATTATTGTTTTATTTTTTCTTCTCTTATTTGGTTGCAGGTTTGATTTGCGTCTATATAGAGCTTATAGATTTATATATTTACCTTTTGTTAATTAATTAATTAATTTATTGCATAATAAATTTTAGAAGCGCAGATGGAAATTCTGAAGGTTTCACATTTACCAGCGGTAATGGACGAGGTTTTGCTATGGGAGGATCCAGTACTGGGGTTGGCCCTGAAGGTGCAATTGGAGGGGCCTCATTCACCGGTGGAAGTGCTGGTGTCGGAGCAGGCACCCCTGAAGCTGGAAGTTTTGCGTTCAGTGGTTCTTCCGCTGGAAGTATACCAAAAAAGAAGGTAGTCTTTGGCATTCCTCGTTTCAAAGGTGGAGATTTTTTCCACAATTTTTTCACTTTTTTTGAACAACTGAGTGGATATAAATTACTTTAAACATGATACTATTATCGGGGTGTTGACTGTTTGAAACAGTGGTCAAATTAAGCTATACATGTATGTACAAGCTTACGGCACTGTCGGGAAGAAGCTTAATAAAATAAGACTTTAAAACGCAAATGAAGTGATATTGTTAGAATTATTTCTTTGTATTCTAACAGAAAAAAATAAACTTTTATACATCCTCCACAGTATAAAATATCACGTTTAAGGTTATGTTGCAGTTTTGGTATGAAACTCTGCATGTCTACAACCAACATTTGATTCTACAAACCTGTTGTTTTTGTGTTGCTGATTGTATATACTGCATTTATATCAAAACTATATTGCATGTATGTGCTTTTTGTTGCTTCATGGAAATAAAATTTCAATATTTATAGGCTTTGCTCTGATTTATCTTAATCCGTTGATACAGCCATGCTTTCTGTCAGCACCATCAAAGTAACAATTGTCATGCATGTACTTGGTACTTTCATTATCAATTCGATCATTCTATGTCTAAAATGATGAATTGACTAATATATGTAGTGCACGTGTAATAAGTAATTGCTTTCACTCATCAATTTAAAGCTTTCTGGCATGAATTGTTTAACAGAGTTTGGATCAAAAGATTCACTTATTTTGAAATGAGGTAAAACTTAGAAGATTCTTCTTACAACCATGTGCTAATCATCTTTGATATTCCATCACTTTCTAGGGTACCCCCCCCCCCCCCGGTTCCTGTTTACTTCAAAGAAGTTTTTAAAATATGATAAAATCATTATTTCATATTTTAAAATAAGATTTGAAAACCTGAAATGATCAAAATGTTTAAATGGCTGGTGTTGGTAAATACAAACCCCTAGCTAGTTAGTTCTGACAAAACGGAAGTTGCATGGATGTTTTGATGATTTTGTACCGATCTGTTTCTGTCGGGGTGAAAGAATATTGATTTTACCAAATTTTTAAAGGTCATAGTACAGCCTTCCCTCTTCCTCCTTGTTCTCGGTCTGGTACTTTTGAAATGGTGACAATAATTCTTTTAATATATGTGCTGGTTAATTTCACTTTTGTTCATCTTTCCTTCATTCTGCACTTCCTGCTGTACAAAACGGTATTTTTATGATAGTCTCTTTTTCGGTTTAACTTTTAGAATAAATGATTTATAACATATTAAATTTTTGGTGTCCACATTTAAAGAAATTGCGCCCATGAATTTTGACAAATTCATAAAAATTGTATAGTGTTATGTTTGGCATGAGATACAAATTTGAAATTTCAGTGTACAATCCTATTCACTAGAATAAAATTGTAGGAAGGAAGATCGTCAAACTTTCCACTCTCTACATTTCTAAGATAAGGAAATCGTCAAACTTTAACCCTTCAATATAACAACATTTTTACATTGGTTTACTCTTAATAGCATTTGAATACAATGTATATAAATTTCAAGGTAAGGAAATTAAATATGATTGCATTTTTTTTACATTGATTTTCGAGGAGAGCCATTTATACACTTTTAATTATGATTAGTGAGAATAATTCTTCCTTTCTCATTGATGACAAGGGCATATTAATGAAGCCTCACCGAGCGCCTTCTGCCAAATATGTGCATTAAGACGGCCAATATGAGCGAGTGGGAGGAATCTGCCAAAGGAAAATGCTCATAAATAATTACATATTGTCACTTAGGTTTCTATAAATAAACATAATTATTGTCACTGTACTCATATTCTTATATGCATAATAACTTTATGAAATAAGATAACTTTTCGTCTTATTATCTTCGGATGTCTTTCTTTCATTGAATATTAACCCGAACTAAGAATCTTGAAACATTTCGAAGTTGTCTTTCATATTTATTAAATACTAAGTCTTGTTTATCAAACATGCAAACCTAAATTTCGTTCCAGTCTTACTGAAATGACCTCTGTCTCTCTCTCTCTCTCTCTCTCTCTCTCTAAAAGAGTTTATACATTAATAATTAAATCTGATTGTAACCGCCATTTGATTGGATAGAAAAATTAATTTATAGATGACGTATTTTCAGGGTTTTAGTAGACAAAAACGGATTGAAATAAAGTACAATATCTTCATAAAAATTGTTCTTTGAACAAAATAACCATATGATAAATCAATATAAAAATTTAATGTTTTACTATTTGAAGAAAATATGCAAGAATAAAGGATTATGTATGATTGCAGAGGACATTCGGTCTGAATATTTTTTTAATATTTTTTTTTTCTTACTACATTCTTCTGAAAATTAAGATTCTGTGCATTTCCTTAATATTATTATGCATGTTTAATATCATGTATTATTTCAATTAATTGAATAGCAAGCAATGAAGAATATCAAAATATACACAAAACACATTTCAGTCAACATATATCTCAATATTTGGATCATTGACCTAATAAACTTTAATACAAGCAGAAGAAAGGCAATATAACTAATCCGAGGCTATAAATAGTTAAGAGTTTCTTTTATTTGTAATTTTGAAATATTAGATTAGAAATGGATAAAATTTAGAAAAGTGACAGAGGAAATTCGGACTGGAATAGATAACAAGTTTATTTTTCAAACTTAAGTTATTCAAATTATTTCTACTTCAGTTTCATTACATTTTCCAGATAGTTTTGCTTCTCGTTGTGCTTTGTAAAAAAAGAAAATATTGGTCTTAGTTTTAAAAAAAATGACTGAGGTAATTTCCGAGAAATACTCAGTGGTCACTAGCCTAGCATGAAAAGTAGGTCATTGACCTAGTTACTTGAAAATGAATAATTGTCTGACGTCATGGCGTCAGACAGTACTAGATTCAGCCAAGGCTTGTCAGTCAAGTCGTTCAATAGAATTCTTGTGATAACTTGATCTTGGAAACTTCATACTATCTTAACTATCAACTTGAGAGCATGAAGAGTAAACACCCAAACAAGCCAGAGTATTGAAGCTGATCTGTCATTATTATCACATTATACATTACAGGTTGCATAACATTTGGCCATTCTTGAATGCATCATTCATGTCCAGCAAAGCAGAAATGAATGAAGCTGGTCAGGTCAACACTTGTCGATTATCTTTATCAGATTAACTAATGGATGTTTAATTTGAATGCATACTGAGTCTCTCTATCTTTAGAATTTTTATAAATCTACACATATTCATAACTTGCAGACGTTTCTTAATTATCAAAATTGTTCACCAGTTGATGTTTAGATTTTTATGTGTTGTAGTTTTTCTTTCAAAAGCACTGGTTATATTTTTTTTATCCATGAACAGGCCCGTTGGAAGAAATTTCAGAAATTTTCTGTTTAAGATGGACACCAATCTAATTAAAATTAGATGTTAGATCCGCTCGCATACTCGCTACACTCGTTAGTGTAGCGAGTATGCGAGCGGATATAACATCTAATTTTAATTAGATTGAGATGGACACTATCAAGTTATCAGAAGTTAAATATAAATTACATGATTTAGGAGATCCAATCATAAAATATAGCTATGTATAAATCGGCATAAATAGGGGGGCACTCCCCCTCCCCGGCCGGACCCTACGTCCATAAAAAAGGAAATTACAAGTATAAATATAGTGTATATGGAATAAATTCATGTCCAAGTTTAAATTTATGCTGATGCTACTGATTTAAACTTTTATTGTTTCTTAGCAAAAGAATTCGTTTCATTACTCAGAGTCACGTTGATTACACTGGATTTAACTTTTCTTGATTCTTCGCGTAAAAATAAATTTGCTCAGGTCAGACAAGCTTTTTAGGAAAGCTAATACTTGTAATATATTAATGATAGGTCTACAATGTATAATAGGTGGTCTTTCATTTCTATCAGTGAAATTTTAAAAGCGTATTTAACTGCCCCAACCTCGCAGCAGAAATATAACTCACAGAAAAAAATATTGAGCTACAGTGCCTCCCATAAAATAAAAACTGCATTGCGCACAGAAAGCTGCGCTCGGTTCTGGATTTGTTTCTCCTTACTCAAGTGCACAAAAGCTCACTTAGATCTTTATTAACTTCTCTCGTAGTTGACATCTGCACGAATTCGTTCGACCGAATTGTCTTGCCATCCAAAATGGCTACAGATCTACAGCTAGTCCCAACCCACAGGCGCCTGACGTTTTTAACCTTTCTTTCCATAAATAAAAAATCCCCAACACTATAGTATGGGGGATTTTTTATTTATGGAAAGAAAGGTTAAAAACGTCAAGCGCCTGTGCCTCAACCCAGGTTATACAGTATAACCTGGTGGTAGCTATTCAATTCATTTATTAACAACGTCAAGTGAAAGACTCCAATATAATTCAGAATCCTACACAGATATTCAAATTATTTGCATGACTTTCATTGAATTCTGCATGTGCTTTTATCATATGCTTAGAACTTAGTGTTTCTTTGGGATTTTATGTCTGCACTAGCTATCTTTGATCATAATTATAAAGCAATAAGATTATGTGATATTTATTAATGACTTAAAACTCTTTTTACAGACAAAAAAGGTTTAAAAGAGAATACTAGAGAAAGGAAAATCTTCTAAAGAAGGATATATTTGTGCTTAGTGTTCAAAACACACTGAAATTAAAGAAAGTGATCAACTGCAAAATGTAATTACATATTATTTATATAATATACTATACTATGTACATATTTTATTGTTATGCGGGTCACATGTTGATTAGCTAATTCTAACATTGGTACCGTTAAAAGATTAACATAAGAGGGATGGTTAAAGATGTACACATAATTTACAATTAAATTGGGAGAGGACTATCTAAGTTTTTAGAACTTGTGTCCAATCCCTTTGACATATTGTCAATAAAATATGTTCAAAACATTTAATTGAAGGGTATTTGCAATTTTTAAGTAAAAGTTATTCGACCTACATTATTTCTTTGTTTTCTTTATTATACCTCATTTCTAATGCACAAATCTCTCCCTAGAAACTCGTAACTACTATACTGACCAGTAAGAAATAAACCCAGCGGTCATTATTTGAGTATAAAGAGGAATGGTTTACTGGAAGCCATGTACGAAATGAAATAGTGTAGTAAATTTACCTTCCAAACAATATTGAGAGCCGTAACAGTTGTTAGACGTTTTATTCCATATATACAATGTATTCAAGTATGTCTGCTTCTACATTAAAGCTTACATAGTGTATTCATAATGTAGAAACAAATTTAACATTGAAGCTAATAATTAAAAAGGAATAAAATGAAGTAAAAAAAAAAATCTAGAAATTCAGTACAAATTAATCAGTTTCAATAACAGCTATCAGTTCTTGTAACAGTTATCAGTTGTTATTATAATAACAGCTATAAGTTGCAATAGCAATTATCATGACGCTAACATTTTTAACCTACTGATGAAAGAATATATATAAATTGATTCATCATCATTCATAAAGAAACAATCAGCGAAGAAGACATAATTATGAAAAAGGTGATGATCTCGAACAGTGATCGATCTAAAAAAAAAAAAAAAATCAACAAACAATACAAATCTGTGAACAGGGCATGAAACACGGACTCCCGGAAATTCCAAAGGTAGGATCAGGTGCCCAGGAGGAGTGAACATCCCCTGTTGACCGGTCACACCCGCTGTGAGCCCTATGTATCGAATCAGGTAGACGGAACATTCCGTAGTCAAATTTAGAATAAAAACGAAGGCCTAACAAATGGTATGAAGTACGTCAGCAAAAATGCGAACCAATGATAGGTTTTATTTGCTAATAAGGTCATTATAACGACCATAAAATTTTGAAAAGTTGACTTTAAATGACGTTGTTGAAATCCTTGTAACATCAACTTATCTGTCAGTAGCCTGCCTCAGTAGCGTATATGATACAATAAAAGTAAAACCATTTGATACAAATAAGATAATGAAAATTTATCATAATGTAGTTGATTGAAATTTTATACTTATATTGAAATATATTTAATTTATAGAAATTTACTTACCTTGTCATTGGTCATTTGCAAAATTATTTTGTTAAAAACATTCTGATTGTACACACAAGTACTCTGAAGTTGACATTAAAAAGATGCTTGAGTTTCTGATTGACAATATCTATGTGGTTTTTAGAGACCAGATCTTCTAACAATCTATTGGAATTCCCATGGGTACCAATTGTGCCCCGTTATTAGCAGATCTTTTTTTGTATTCATATGAAGCAGAATTTGTCCAAAATCTTATACGTGAAAAGAAGAAAACACTTGCTGTGGCCTTCAACTCGACATTTAGATATACCGGTATCGACGACTTGTTGTCAATTCACAATGGTTATTTCCATTCTTATGTCGATACGATATATCCTGGTGAGCTTGAGATAAAAGATACCACAGAGTCTGACACATCTGTTTCATATTTGGATATTTTACTTGAAAAAGACGTTAATGGTAATCTAACAACCAAGCTTTATCATAAACGTGATGAATTTAATTTTTCAATCGTCAACTTCCCTTACTTACGCAGCAATATACCTTCATCACCTGCATACGGGGTTCATATCTCTCAGTTGGTTCAATACGCAAGAGCATTTTCTACGTATGTACAATTTCTAAAACGAGGTAAATTATTGACAAACAAGTTGATGGAACAAGAATATCAGCAGTCTCGTTTAAAGTCATCATTTCGTAAGTTCTATGGTCGATACAATGACCTTGTCAGCAAATACAATTTATCATTGAGTCAAATGCTGACTGACGTTTTTCATGCTAATTGTTAGACCATTATTTACACACTGAATTGTCGGATTTTTCAGTTATTTCCCGATCATGACAAGGAGCACAAGGCGGGTGTGACCGGTCGGCAGGGGATGCTCTGTGGCGACGCACTTTGAAAAAATTATCACTTTGAAAAAAATTTTCAAAGTGCGTTAAAATTGGGACAAAATCAAAGTGCGTTAAGAGTGCACATCAACATTTTTTACCATGGAGACAATTAACGCACTTTGAAAAAATACGTATAAAACAAAAATTCTGGACTTAGATTTTAGTAATAGAAAGCATTAATTTGTTATATTTCTTCCGAAAAACTGATGAATTGATCTACCCTCATCGAGAACGAGGAGAAGACAGGTAGAAAGTCCCTCAGCCTAACTCTCTATATTTCCTACACAAATATATGTATTTACTTAACTGGTATGTCATTGATATTATTTCTCTCAATAAATTTGAGCTAACGTAGAATAGATGAAAAAATTGAGATAAGCTTTCCTGAAAAAAAAAATACGCACTCTATTATATTAAAGAAGAGAGCCGCATAACCTTTTTTTAAAATGTATTCACAATGATTCCTCAGAAAAAGGCATTTACATGGTAATTAAAACATGTTATTTGACATGTCTAGCGTTTTTATGATATCAAATTACAGATTTAGAAGTAATCTGACTGCATAACTTTTTTGAGAAAAAGTTATGTGAACGAGGTAAAAATTTCAGTCGAGTGAATAATGTGGCTAAGGTTTATTTTCTTACTATCAAATAAATGAGTCAACCATTGTTTCATATATGTTCACAATAGATAGATAGATAGATGAATATGATAGAAAGATAGATGAGAGAGAATTTTCATGGTATGGAAAAATCATAGTTGCTCTCTTTTCTCTAAGAAAAACGAGATGCTTTAAGTCACTTATCGACCCTACATCTACCAAACTTATTAGAGACTGGATAAAATTTTAAAAAGAAAAGAAGAAACGAAACTGTGCTATTAAACAACCATTCCTCCATTATTTCTAAAAGACCCATTTCCCTTTTATAACAGTTACGAGAACCTATGGAAACAAGACAACTCCTCAAAATCTTTAAAACGTCTATATCCTGACGTCATCATCGAAAAGTTATCCAACCAGGTTCAGATAATTATTTATCATACCTAAAATTTGCAAGAATATGACCAAGCCGTGCACATTTTTTTTTTGCAAACTTTGAAATTTTTTTTTTTCAAAGTGCGTTAACGTGGTTCCAAAATTAACGCACTTTGAAATTTTTTTTCAATGTGCGTAATTTTTCAAAGTGCGTTGTAACAATGCTCACTCCTCCATGGCACCTGATCCCACTTCTGATGTTTTGGAGGTCCGTGTTTGCTCTGCTCCTTTTTTGTATTGTTTAATGGACTTTTGAGTTTGAATACTGTTCGTTATCTCCATATATTTCATACTAGTTTTTTTTTTTTAATCTTTTATAACTAAAACAAAGATGAAAATGGGGAACATGATCATGATTTGTCAATAATACTATTAAATAAAATATACATGTATTCAACACATGTATTACTTTATTTTAAGATTTTAGTCTTGAACAATGAGGTTTAACTGATAAGACAAAACGCTTTCTCCTGGGGTAATACAATTCAATATTTATTTCTGAATATCATTTTATCAGACTGACCTGAGGAATTTCTTTGCTGCATCACTAGCACTAATTCTATGAAACTGAAATTTCTCAAAAACCGTATTATAAGAGATCAAAGCATCTATACTGAATTACCTGTTAGCTGTTGACAGATCCCCACTATCTGCCATGACATATCTCTAAGTTTGCCATCTACGTATTCACCTTGGTGATGGTGCAGATAGGCAAACAGCTTATCAAAGTGGCTGTATTTGGGTTAACACGATGGTAGCACAGACTGAGAGAAATGAAGCATGACAAATGAATCGGGGTCAATTGGAGTTGAAAAACGGTGTTTTTCATTTTACAAAATCCTGGTTTCTAGAACTCCTCTTACATTTTTCATGCACAGTAGTAATTTTATCTTTTGCAAGATGATTGGAAGTATTCTGTAGGTGTGTAATGAGGTTTTGGGATTTTCATTTTTCACCCTGGGAGCCAGATGGAGGTAAAGAAAACGACTTTTCTAAATACAAAAAACTGGTTCCTAAAATTCCTCTTACATTTTATGAAGGAGGAATTTCATCGTTTGCAAGATGATTGGGAGTGTCCTGCAGATGTGCAATAAGGTTTAGGAATTTTCATTTTCAACCTGGGGGTAAAATGGCAGTCAAAAAACGTTGTTTTTTTGTTTAACAAAAACTTGGTTCCCAAAACTCTTTTTACATTTTACACAATAGCCATCTCATCTTTTGCAAGATGATTGGGGGTGTTCTGTAGATGTGCAATAAGGCTTCTGAGTTTTCATTTTCACCTTGGGGTTAATGGGGTCGAAAAACGTTGTTGGTTTTTTTTAAACAAAACCCTGGTTCCCAGAATTCCTCTTGCACTTCACGCAGTAGCCATTTCACTTTTTGCAAGATGATTTGAGGTGTCCTGGAAATGTGCAATAAGGTTTTGAAAGTTTCATTTGGCCTTAGGACCACATTGGGGTCGAAAATGACGTTTTCAAGTTTCAATTGTGGCTGATTTTCTTTCTTCTTCATCTTCTTTTTACACAGATTTTTTTTCTTAACCTCCTTCTTTCAGAATTTATTTCATCGCAATCTTTAATTTCAGACCGGTATTGAATTTATTATCTGAAATACCAACGTGAGAGGCCCATTATCATATGCTCACCTGTGGCTGGGTTCCTAGATTGCATTTCACTAAGCATGTGATAAAGGATTTTGAAAACACAATTTATACTCAATTTCATACATGTATACATATTTCACGTAAATTAAAGAATAACTTTTGTGGCTTCTTCGCTACTCAGATACAAGGGAGTTAGCGTACATTCATAGACAAACACGTATACGTGCTTGTATAACCGTCTTATGAACCTTATTAACATCTTATGAGTTTCTAGTTTAAATTATAGTGCATTTTCTGGCATTAACTCTGGAGGTCACATTCTTAACAGACCTCTGGACATACCAAACATAAATTAACTGCAGTTAACTATAGATTACTAAAGTATTTTGATTTTCAATTGGTTTGAAAATTA